GCATCAAGGGTGTCAATAAAAGTTGAATGGATATAATCTTTGTAACTTTTGTCTACAGATTCAGACTTCAATTCATTAGGCAAATGGTCTTTAGTTTATTTTAAAAGTGTGCTTGAAGTTTAATGATGTTAAGTTGTATTGCGTGCAATGTAAAATATAGCTAATGCATTTATCAAAAGAATTGACCAAAATATGTCTATACTGTAAAATTAGTAACTGAAGATTAAAGATATAAATGAGAAATGCTGTCAATATTGTAAAAACATTGTGCTAACATAATAGTAACTCAATATAATTTTGCTGTGAAAGATTGACATTCTTATCTATATGGTGTTTCCATGAAATTTTATGGAATGCTTACTCTTATTCCTCATAAAATTAATTGCAGAAGGTTGAGCTACAATGGCCTTTTACTTTCACAGTGCCTGGGACCAGTTGTAACTAATTCATAGACATTGTAGGATGATGGAATAAATTAAGTCATTCGGGACCCAAACACTTTTATACCTGCAGTATTTTCGTCATTGTTACTAACTTAGGTGTATTTCCTAAAATTGGCTTTTTTTTATTTAAGATAGTCAGTAGAAATCTAAGGCAAGGAATAATTACATGATAAAAAACAAATCTCACGTGTGTATGTTTGTAACGTTAAATCCCAGAAATTGAAAAAACAGAATAGTTTGGGCAAACCTTTAAAAAAAAAAGTGGATGTTTTCTGCCACATACACACAATGATTGAGAGACATTTCTTGTATAATTAAGGGCTTACTTTTAGTCTATAAATTGCAACTCAGAAAACCAATTTGGCTTGAGTAATTAATGTATTGTCTATTTTGGTCCTTGTTGTAAGAAATTTGGCCAAAGGCAGTGTGAAACTGTGGCGACTCCACGGCCCTGTCAGAGATCCAGGCTCTTCTGATGTTTTAACCGCCGATGGCCAACTTGTGACCATTGACTAGTAGTTCCGAGATGGTGGCTCATCCCTGGGCATTGCATCCGTTCTCCTGACAGCAAGGAGGACGAGGGGAAAACGTCCCACAGCTTTGGAGTCAACCACCCTCCATCCCGCCACTCCTGCAATTTAAAGAGCTTGTCAATGGTGTCGTCAACAGCTTTTCTTTTTCCATAGAAAAGCATTTTATTTTAAATATATCAACGTGCACGTCAATCCCAAACTCCCTATCTAGTCCTACCTCTACCTTCCCCCTGGTAACCATAATTTCGTTCTCTATTTCTGTTTTATAAATAAGTTCATTTGTATCATTTTTTTTATTTCACATACACGTGATATCATATGGAATCACACGATATTAGTCTTTCTCTGTCTGACTTTTCCCTTAGTGCGATAATCTCCAGGTCCATTCACGTTGCTGCAGCTGGCATTATGTCATCCTTTTTAATGGCTGACAACTTTCACGTATATCATATTGATGAGAGCTGTGTTATATGGACACTCCAATATACAAGGGAAATTAGAAATTGCAGGCTTATTACACTTGGTAATGTCAAGAATACCTTTGTGGGTGAAAAAGGAAAAGCAAAATGATAAATGGCAATGCTTGCCAAATTCTACGCTATAGTTTTACAGAATAAATTTATCATCAATATTACTGTATAAAATCGTTTTCAGGGCACACCCTGTCTGGAAGCCAGAGTAATATTCTGAGGCATTTTGCTTCTGAAGGAAAGCATCTTATTAGGGCAGAATCGGCATGGATGGGGCTTCCCTGGTGGCTCAGTGGTAAAGAATCCACCTGCGATGAAGGTGATGCAGGAGCCATGGGTTCAATCCCCGGGTCGGGAAGATCCCCTGGAGGAGGGCATGGCAAGCCACTCCAGTATTCTTGCCTGGAGAATCCCATGGACAGAGGAGGCTGGTGGGCTGCAGTCCATGGGGTTGCCAAGAACTGGACCTGACTGAAGTGACCAAGGACAGCGCAGCCCAGGCAGGTGGATTTGACTCCTTCCTTTGTCTCTTCGGGTTCCCTAGAGGCTCAGCTGGTAAGGAGTCCACCTGCAGTGTGGGAGACCTGGGTTCCATCCCTGGGTTGGGACGATCCTGTGGAGAAGGGAAAGCCTACCCACTCCAATATTTTGGCCTGGAGAATTCCGTGGACTAGTCCATGGGGTCGCAAAGAGTCGGACACGACTGAGTGACTTTCACTTTTGTCTCTTGCCCAGATATGCTAACTGGGCAATGCCCTGACCTGAAGTTGCCTCAATGACCATATACTATTATTGAATTAATAGAATTAAATAATGAATATAATTCATTCAATAATAGTATGATGAGCATGAAACAGCCTTGGTACTCAATAATTCTTACTCTCCTATCACCTCTGATTTTCCTTTTCATCTAGATAGTACTTTTAAAATCTTTCTTTGTACAAATCAGTAAGATACTGTTTCCAAAAATGCCATTAGAATGGAAAATATTTCACAGAGACAAATCTTTATTACTTGCCATTATTATTACTGTAATGTTTTTCATCATTATTAATAAATTAACTTTCAATGTAGAACCCAGAGCTGTATGCCTGTTTGCTCATATCTCAAGACACCATAACTGACAAAAATCTTTCAAATTCAAAATTAATTTGTAATTATCTTTTTAAATATTTTAGTTTCCCAGACAAATTTTGTAGTCTTCTGAGTCCCAGTTTTTCTGGTAACCATTCTTTATTGTTATCAGGGTTTTTATTTGTTTTTATAATTATCCTCCTGTTCTGTTTATGAAACCTCTGCATAACAAGTCTCCACCAAGACAACTATGAAATTGCTAACAGTTTGTATCTTTAAAAAGTAGATCTTAGGGTAAATTGCTTAGAAAGAATATTACTTAAAGAAATGTCTAAAAAACTATACATATTTCTTAGTGACCCTTAACTATAAGCCTGTCATACGTTTCTAAATTTTTGATATATACTTTGTGCTTAAGTTTTGAAATATTTAATGCTCTAAAAATAATTTTCCATGATTGTATTTAAAGTTGAGAAAGAATTTAGACTTTTTTCCAATATTTTACAAAATTACACTGAAATATGTAAGTATGTTCAATTTTAAACTGAGTAAAGCAAAATAAACAATTTAAAGTACAAAAATGAATATGAACATTCCTTTTAATCTCAGAACAAACTAAAAAAAACTTTACATTTTATAATAATGAATGTGAATGTACCAGTGGAATGAAATCATTTTATTAAAATTAAATATCAAAATATCACTCCTAGAAAATTTTATTATTATTAAATTAAGAGATTGTTCAATCAGCAGAAAAATATAGTGTAAGACATAAAATATTTGCCTAATTCTTGTATAAAATGTATCATTTTATACTTAATCAAGTAGGGCAAAGGAAGTATTCTGAAATATATATGGTATATGTCTGTATTTCTCGGCTTTTTTTCTCCCAAAATTTCCCAAGAATTTTTAGAAGTCAGCCTTACTTAACACTGAGGTCTTGATCACCCTGTTATTCTTCACAAACCCTCTGATTTAGGTGGTCTAATCAGCACAGTATGAAAATCTCCCTCTTAAGAGACTTTTTTTTTTAAAAGTGCTGCTTCCTTCCCTGGTATAATTCTTGAGAGGAAGCCTCCCTGAATTCTTCAGTTTGAGGGTAATTTCATCAGACTTCATAGACCACTTCTGGCCCCAACTGTTCATAATCTCTACAGAATTTGCTGCCTTATAATGTTTTTCATTGCATATCTGTCTGTTCTCTGCAACTAAATCACAAACTACTTACAGGCAGAAGTAATTTCTTATCTTCAAAAAATGTCACGTGATTTATTCATGTTTATGTTTCTTATGATATAAAGAGAAATTCCAGCAAAAAAAAAACAACACAAAAAACTTGTGAACAAAATCTGCAAGGGAGAGGCAAAATCATATAGGCTTGATAATATATAAATGGTTGATGAAAAATAAAAGAAAAACATGTATAAATCAACATTGCTTCAAAGATAGTTCATATAAAAATGATAGATATAAATACATCATCTTAGCCATTCATGAAAACAAGTACTTCCTCTGATTACTCAAGCTACAAACAAATAAAATGAGACTTAGAATCCAAAAGAAACACCAAGCTCCATATCTGCTTAGTTTAGTTTACTTAAGAAGATGCTCTGTAAGATTATGTATTCTGTGGGCAGATAAGATGATTCCTCTTCACATGGAAGACCAGAATGCTGAACTTTGCTTTGGCATAACTTATCAAACAGGAAACTCATCAGCTGTGTAAATTCACATTGATATATTTTTACCCCAGATGGGTTGAATTAACTGAGAGTAGAAAGCAATTCTGCTACATCTCCTTAAACTTTCTTATCTTGTCTCACCTTTATCTGATCATAGAGATGCCCAAGGTTGATCAAGTTTAGCTGCAGCATTTGTCACAGTTAAATAAATAAATCATTGAAAATGTCTATAGAAACAGAAGAACTAGAAAGCTATCTATAGCATACTGATTTAAAATTTACTTTATTTCATATATTCTTAAAGGAAATAATTGACAGTGATCAGTTTTCCCTTTAAAAGTTGGAAGTATACTAATTGATCATTTTTGTTGTTGTTAGAAAATAGCATTTTGGGGTTCCTAAGACTAATGGGAGATATTCATGGGCCAAATGTAGTTGCTAAAGACTTCTTTGAGAAACCGTACATTCCTTTCTAATGAAGTGACATTTATGACAATAATTTGGTGGAGGAAAGGGGAAATCCAGCTTTTATCTTTTCACTCTTTTTCCTTCAGTTTTAATTTTGAGCGATTGATTTGGGTAGTACAAGAAAGCAGGTGAAGTAAGATACTTTCCTTTTGACTTCAGTGACAGTCATATAGTTTGTTTAATTTATCGTATATGGAGATGGTTTTCTTTTCATTGGCTTAATATGTCAATACTGACACATATAACATCTTATTTAAATGCATATTTTTCTCATGATGAAATCATATTTGTTATGCTTTTTACTGAAATCTCTTTTCTTTTTTTCTTTAGCTTCTGTAACAGAGATTAAGCAACAATCTGGAGGATGAAAAAATAGGTCTGCTAAAGAAAACTGTAGATTTTATTTTCTTCTTCATCTTGAAATGGAATACTATAAAAGGGTAGAAATAAAAAGCAAAGAAAAATTTGCTTATATATTCTCCAAAATCAAATTATATTTATTAAATTTTATCTAGAATCCATATGGATACAAAAATTAAAATGTCGTATCACATTATTATGTGTTATATATAATAATGGGCAAATATTAACCAAAATATCAAATATGTCTTCTTTCATTCTTTCCTTAAACTTCCTATAATATGCCATTTTTCATAGACTGAATACTATTTTAACTGCTTACATACTAATAACTACCATGGTGTCAACTATCAATAATAATATAAATATAGATAGTTCTAAGATGGATTGGGTCTTAAAGACATCATTTTTCTGATGCTCACCCTTTCAAAGTTACTTACCATTCTTCATTTATTTCCTCTAGCCATTGTACCACATTCTATATCTACTTTAACCATCTTATCACATTCAGTAGGCATCAGACTTGAGCTTCTTCACTTTTCTCTTCCTTTGATATGCAGTGAGAAAGCAGAGAAACCACATTAGCATCACTGAAATTTTTTCACATTTTCCTGTGCCTTATTTCCCTATGTCCAGAAGAAAACTAAACTTTGTAAGAAAAGTGCTTCAACCTTTTAAATACCTGTAAAATATTCCTTTTGATTTTGAGTGTTTAAAGTATTGATTCAGAAATCTGGGGATGTAACTTTTGTTCCTTAACCCTTTTCTATATCTTGTAGATCTTTCCAATATAAAATTTACATATCTTATTCTTTCTAAAGCAAAGCTTCTATTGTTTATTGCAAGATATATAACCTTTCATTTTCTGTTTTAGCATCTTCTATTATTTAAAAATCAAAACTGCTGATATGTTACTGTGTGTCTTTGTTTTCCTCACAAATATAGTATATTAACATATATTAAATATATTTGCTTTATTTCTTTATCATTTGATCTGCATTCTTGAATGTCTCTTTAACATTGTGTCATATAATTTTTTTGAATTTATTTTAATCATCATAATTCTAATTCTGATTATTTGTTTCTTATTCTTCAAAGAGACTTCTTTTAGCATCCTTTTCACCTCACATTACTCTGTTACCTATCATAATGATTTAAGAATTGTGAAAGATCTCTTGTTTCATCAAGCATTAAATGTTTTGTTTGTTTGTTCAGTCGTTTCCCACATTATATGTGCTTTCTTGCTTAAAGTGTGGTTATTCTTGTCGGATCGTTAAGAATGTGGGATCTTGCCAGAACAAAGAATTATAGATTTTTCTAGTTGGTTTGGGTGCACTTCCCCAGTTGTTTTCACACTGGTTTGTTACCTATTAAGCCTCCCTCTGGATTAGGAAGGCTGACAGTTGCTCCTGTGGGGATATGAGTGAAGAGGAGAAAATCTGACTTTGTTTACTGGTGGGTTTCCTGACATTTTGAAGAAAGGAGGTCAATCAAGAGGAAATTTCAAAAAAGACTTCAAGTTTATATGTAAAAGCATTGACATTGTGTGTTTGTTTTATAGTGGTTCAGTCCAGTTCAGTTGCTCAGTCATGTCCAACACTTGGCGCCCCCATGGGCTGCAGCACGCCAGGCCTCCCTGTCCATCACCAACACCCAGAGTTTACTCAGACTCACGTCCATTGAGTCAGTGATGCCATCCAGCCATCTCATCCTCTGTCGTCCCCTTCTCCTCCTGCCCCCAGTCCCTCCCAGCATCAGGGTCTTTTCCAATGAGTCAGATTTTTTGTGACATGTACATTCTGCTTGTTAGTATTACAAATTGTATAATCATAAAACTCACACTTCACACTTTGTTTGCCCAGCTACCACTGATAAAGTGTCACTCTGCGAACTCTCTTGCCTCCTCTTGTGTATATGCTTGGTGCATCAAGGGTAAATCATAGGTTTTGAAATGACTCACAGAGAGGTGCCCTCTCTTAGGCCAAGAAGAAATCTCCCCAACAAACATTGGCTGCCTACAAACACTTTACACGGGGGTATTAGTTAATTTCTTTGGATTTCTGGGGACACTGCATGGTGATTGCAGTGAAAGCTAATCATTCAACTAATCTTCACTCTCGGCTTATACGCACCCAGCTCCTCCCATACAGAAAAATGGTCTTCCAGTCTTGTAACATCCTGTAGAGCAAGCGTTTATTGTGAAGTAGCTTAAGTGTCTGGGTTAAGAGGAGCAGTACGATTTGCAACCCCCTTTTCGCCCCAACTGTCAACTTCAAAATTAAAATAAAATTAGATCGTCGTCACTTGACTAATATTACATAATCAATGACTGCACAAGTACCCAAGGGAAGAATGATTTATTTTGCATACATGTTTCTAAAATTAAACAACAATATCTGTCTCTTCTTTGTCTCTCTCCGTCTGTCTCTTTATGTTCTAACCTACCAGAGTAGAAGATAATAATATTACTAAGAAAAAATGTACTTCTGGATGTTTTCTTATGCATCAAGGATTTTAAAATTGGCAAAGGAAGCCGGGGCCACTATTCACCTCATATTTGTACTCTTACACTTGTGGAAAAACAAACCTATACCATTAAGTAGTAAAATAAACATCAGCTTCAACTTTTGTATGTTTTCCCCTCTTCTCTGATTATGAGAAGCATGTTCTAATTAACACAACTAACAAAAATATTCTAACTACTCTATGGAATCGACCCCACTTCCCCATTTTCTCTCGTTTACTCGTTTTTAAGGAAATTATCTTCATGTGGTAAACTGAATGGCGATGCCTGTCACTGGGGCCTCAGCATTAGCAGCTGCTTCTAGATTCTTGCTTTCCCTCTTCTCAAGTTAGGAAGCAGAGATCCTCGTGGAAGTGCACCCGGGGTTAAGATGCAGTCATTTCACTTTGAATGATACCTTTTGTTCTAGCAGCTGAGCCCCATTTACTTCTTTGCCTGCCAAAGCTAGCATTTTTTGTACCCAATCCATGGCATACTTTTCTCTTTTTTCTCCTTCACTTACCTTTCTTTTTTCTTTTTATGGACGAAATTGGCTCCACATTCTAAGTTTAATGAGTATGTACAGGTTGGCAGGCAAGAAAGAGTCATTTATCTAGAGGGCTGAGCCAGCTGCAAGGTACAGAGCTTTCGTTTCATCTTGAGGAAATAAAACAAAAAAAAAGCTAATATTATATTAATCTTCATGTTCACATGGGAAGCATTTTAGGAATCTTTGGAAAATATGGAATAGATTAGGAACACGATTAAAATTACCAGCATACTGCAATGGTTGACACCTATTATGAAGTAGTATTCACAAAAAGTGAAGGCATTTGGTTTAAATCTGTATCAAATAGAATATATTAAATAAATGCTTTTGTAAAAGCAATCAGTTTGTAAGTATTGCTCCTCAGCAACTATGCTTTAAATTTTAAATTCAAAAAGGCATTAGGCAAAGAGTTACATGATGATTAGAAATGGGTCTTAGGACTAAGGAAAGCTTATTGAAATAATCTGTTCAGTTACCATAGTGACTTTTGTTTGTTTCTTTTAAAATGATATTTTATGATGTTTTCACTATTAATTATTTAAGAGAAAATATTTTTGTTTTATATATAAAAAAAATTGAGAAAGTTGTAAACTAAAAGAAATTAAAATAATTAATGTCACTAATCTAGGAAAAATACATTATCAGAAATAGAAACAACTCACACAAAATATAGCTGACTCTAGTATTACTTCACATTCATCCTATACAAAAATGATGTAGCTATTACCTATACCAAAGCTATATATTTTAAACTTCAAACTAAGAATTATTTACAATACCCAACTCAACAAATAGTTGACCCAAACCTTTCTTTTTGTGATATTTGCATCATGTTCTAGTGACTGTATAACTAGTTGTTGAAATACGAAAACGAATTTGTCTTTTGAGACACTGGCTTACTATATTTGACTATGCTCTCCTTCCTGTTGTTTTTACTTCTTTCTGTGCACTGGATATAAGTTAATTTGAACACATAGAAAAGATTCACTTAAAGACCACTGGTACGGTACATCTATGTGTCTCTCCCCACCGCCCGTACCTTTCAAGATGATTTCCTGAGTCTGTGGTCCACTGTTAGCGCTGCTTCTCCTCCCAGTCTTTTCTTCAGAGAAATCAATTCGTCTCACTAATATTTCTGAGCACTTAAAACCCACAATTTAATTGCTATCCTAATGAAGTGGCATTTTTTTGTATGTAGTGTGACCTAAATAACCACAGTATATATGCCACTATTACTTTTGTTGATGACTAAGTCATTAGTCATCAGGAGAACAACACATTGATCCATTGCATGTGCCAAAGTTAAAAGTGATTATTTTAATCTTCCTAAAGTTGCATCAAAGTCAAATATAGGAAATATTTAGATCATTCCTTCCTCTGATTTGTACCAGTTTAGCAGGACATTCAAGGTATTCTTTCAGAGTCCTCAACATAATGCTCCCAGCAGACAATCAATATTAATTGTTCAAAACCTCTGATGAGATAAAAATTATTTGACATTCCTGCCATAAACAATGGACAGATTGTTTAATAATAATTGCAATAATAAATAAATTAGTGGGGAATTAATATATTTTGGTTAAGGTCCTTGTGGCTCAGCTGGTAAAGAAAACTCCTGCAATGCAGAGATGTGGGTTCGATCCCTGAGTTAGGAAAATCCTCTGGAGAAGGGAAAGGCTATCCACTCCAGTATTCTGGCCTGGAGAATCCCATGGACCGTATAGTCCATGGGGTTGCACAGAGTTGGATATGTCTGAATGACTTTGACTTGACTTGACTTCACTTGCAGGTTAGCGAGTCTCAGCTGCTCTTCATGACTGCGTTCCCAGATTGCTCTGTATGCCCACTCTCCTCCATGAGACAGATGCTGCCACAGTGAACTCAATGAGACTCAGCCGCTGTCTCCAGGGAGTGGAAATTTAGCTAGATGGGGAAGGAAGGAAAACAGCTTTGCAGGACAATTTCTGCTTGCTAGATCTTTAGCTTTCTCAACAGTTAGAATAATCTATGATCAATATTTAGTGATCACTGCGTTCCCATCAGAAAGGG